CAACTGTTGTAGCTACTTCTTTTAGGATATTTTCGCATTCATTCCAGTAATTATCTATATTTTCAACAGTACTACATATTTGGTCTTCTAGTTTTTCTTTAAGTTTGCGTTCAAATTTTCTAACTATTTCAGGGTTTCGTAGTCTGTCCACCTCAAATTTAACTTCTTTGCTTCCTTTACCTTTTTTGCGTTAGAGATTCGTGGTCTTAGTTTAGTCTGGACCAGGTAGTGATCGGAGTCAATGTTTGCTCCACGTCTGGTACGTACATTCATAACATCGCTGTAATGTCTGCAAGTAACATATCAAAAAACTATATTTATGGTAATCAGCAAAAATAAAATTAGAGATAGAAAATTAGAAGATATAGATTATATCTTCTCGATATTATAATATACTATATGATATAATAACACTGAAGCGATGGAGAAAAACCTTGAAGCCTTCGAGATGTGACTATGCAGAAGAATCCTAAGACAATCAAAATGTACTGAAAAAATGTGTTTAGGATACAAGGAAATTATACAGTTTAATACCGTTAGCTTATAACTTAACTGCCTACTTCTAGTTTGTGTATGATTATAATAAATCTCCATTTTTCTCATTGAGCAAATTTTTTGTTAATCATTGTTTTAAAATTTCATTAATTAAACAAAAAAAAACAAGAAAAAAAAATACTAAAATTATTTATGTAAATATACACACACTATATAAAATTTTTGTTTTTTCTAATTTTATTTCATCTAACCAGCATTTGTGTACCTAACGCTCCCGCCAAAATTTGTAATTTTTTAATTAGAACTTCAATAAAATAGATTTTATATAATTATTTGATTACAATAACCGTATTTACAATTTGCATTTGTTTAGCACCATTAATATTTAACCATAGTTTAGATAGATAATCTCTTAAAAATTTTTAGTGTAGCTACATTGTGATGTCATAATTGATTGTTGCTGTGTTTACTATATCATCAACTTACGGAGTAAAAAACTGAGCGATTACGGCATTTGGACAAATTACAAGTTTTAGAAAATTTTTGACAAAAACGTCAAATAGGCAAAAGATATTCAGTGAACAATCTGAGAAAAACGCTAAGCGGATTAGACCCCCGTAATAAATATAATTTTATCAGAAATGTTTATATAAAGCACTAAAACGTGAGAGTGCTTGAAGGGCTACATACAAAAGGATGAAATACCTTTTTGCATCGGACGATACCATTTGAAAATTATAAAAATTTAGTGTATTAGTTTATTATATTATATAAATTTTACATAAATGTAATATAATATTATATTTATTTTATTAATTATAAAAAGTTTTTTTTCTTTCTAAAATACCTAACCCTTAACTACTGTCATTTTATTTTGGAAATTGAAGTAGTGATTCAGATTGATCTGCCACGGAAACTGCAAGGAGATTAGCACTGGACATGCGTAGTTTTAGTGGTAGGTATGTAACTCACATATACCTGGATTTAGAAATCGATAAGACACGCCACTATTCAGCTATATTTGGAACTACTACTCATCTTGAAAACTGTTGAATAAAAATAATTAAATTAAATTTATTTATGTTATACTAGCGTAAGCTATATTAAGTAAAAAAACATTAAAAAATAATTTAAAGTTACAATACCAGCGCTAACAGAAAAAGTTACACTCATTCAATTACTGTACACTATAATATTGTGTCTTTCATTTAAATGTTGTATTATTAAGAGCCAATATTAACTACGGCTAAGTTTATCTGTAAAAATGTTCTAAAGTTGTTTTCTTGTGGCATGTCTAAGTAAAATGTTAAGTTTATATGGAATTAGCCACAATTGACAAAAATAAAACTTGCATTAGGTATATAATTGTGAATTTGTCGTTTCTCTCTCAGCGTTTAGCTATAAGTGACCTAATAACACATTATAACGACAACACGTATTTTGAACTTGATAATGATTTTAATAAACAAAATTTTGGATTATGAGCTTATCCTAATTTTATTTAATATTATTGAATTTTATTTAATTTTTTTTTAAATTTTGTTGAATTCAAGTTTTTGAAGTTTAATTTAATTTTTTGTAATGCTATTTAATTTTATATAATTTTGTTTAATTTATTTCACTTTATTTAATTTTATTTCATTTTATTTAATTTTATATAATTTTATTTAATATTTTAAAATTAAAATTAGCAAAACGCAGTCATTGCTGCATGGTTAAGAGAGGAAGTGAAGACAAGAAACAAGCCTATTTACAATACAGAACACAACAAACACAGGAGGCATACAACACTACAAACAAACCAGAAATAAAACGAATACTTTTATTAGACACATAAAAAGGAAACACTGGCAGATCTTCTTAAAACAGAAGAAACATAACTTCTACGGAACACAAGAAGACATATGAAAAATGATTAGGAGACAAAGAAAAGAGATGGACGAACTATAAAAATAAAACACATTCAGAAGCAAGAGAGATGACTTTTAGAATGATCAAACTGACCAAAAATATCTACCAAAAAAAAAACGCAATAAAAGTAAAAGTATAAGAAAAAATAGCTGAACTTCAAGCTGGCAATGCAATGAGACAGGGAGATTCACTAAATTCTCTTTTGTTTAACTTTAATATGAATAAAATAAAAAAAAAGAACTAAAAAATAATACCAAATGGGAGAAAAACAACTTAAAATAATCTGCTAAGGGTACGATGCGAAATCTGCTATGGGTACGACACATAGTAAAATGAACATAATTTACAACGTATGCTGCACCAATTTAATATAACCTCCAGAAAATGTAACCTGTTAATATCTCCAAAAAGACAACATGCATGGTTATAATAACAAATTTACTAAGATGTAAATTGGACCTAAAAGGTTAGATAATTGAACAAGTGATGAAGTTTAAATAGTTGCCTGGCAATTTTCGCGAATTAAAAATTTTGTCAAAATTTCATAAGCGAAAATTGCCAAATAGCAACAAACTTAAATAAAACTAGAAGAAAATTTTGCCGGTAAATAATTATCTCTCGAATGATATTCGACAAGATTATTTCACGAGACAATTAATCCACTATATAAACGAAACATAATCTTTATTTATTTTTGTTCTGAAGCTATTTTCTTGTGGCATTTTAAATTAATTAATATTTAACTGGGAATAAGCCACAATTAAAGATAAAAATACGTTTATTGACGTTTCAATTTCCACTTCGGAAATCGTTCTCAAAATACAAACAGTAAATTAAACAAATTTTGTTTTTTTGTTACATAGTGACATATTATTAGAATTCTTCTAATAATTTAATTTTATCTGACTCATTTATATTGACAATTCAGACATACATTAGGCATTTTAAAGTAGACGACATTAAAATGATATTGCCAATATTGTTGAGTTGCGCTCCTTGGACGACTTTACTTATAAGATAGTTCATTCGATTACATGAAATCAACTTTAACTTGAGAATATCCGTCAGAAAAAATCATAGCATGTAATTCGTCTTTAAAAAGACAAACACATGACACGATGACAGTAAAATTCTCCTGTTAGTGATTCCATAGTAAATTACGAGGGAAAAACCAGGAAAAAAAACCTCATAATACTATCCCGACATGGTAAGTATTTGTTCGTGCATTTAGTTTACCTTCAATAAACACCAAAATTCTGATTTTATATGTTTCGTTATTTAAAAAACATAAATGATGTATCCTCTATATGTTGCTGACTTACTAATACTGGTATTTTCTTATTAATAACTTCCTCTTTCAATATTGGTAACCAGATCCTACTACATTCTGCCGAGGAATTTGCGACACAATTGGCCTTATTTAGCATAATTAGAGCCGCTTCTTTAATTTTTCTTTTTTTACCATCCGTTTCTTTTAGGACTACATTTGAATTATTCCATTGAACCCTATGTTCATTATCCCATGCTTGTTTACATATTTGAGATCTATCAAATTCTCTATTTTTAAAATAAGATTGATGTTCACTTATTCTAACATTTAATGGCCTTGATGTTAACAATATTAAATTTACAATTCTTATAAGGTATAGTCGTTTGGCCATTCTTTTCTACCAATGCATGATTTTGCATATTAACCTGTATCATCCGGGAACTCAAAGGTCCAACTTCATTTGTTGTTCTAAAATTTTTGATCAACTTCTTGTGGTGACTGGAATCCAGCTGAAGATATGAGTTTAGAGAGATTTGAGTGAACCGTTATTTTAAATAACTTCTGTTCAAAAACACCTTGCTTGAACAAGGTTGACATAGCTGAAGATCGATGAGAATGGTTTGTTTTTTTGTGTTTGTTTTTGTGTCTATTTTAAATTTTCAGCTGACATTTTTGTCCACTTAGATACGGTGTTGATTCCAAGTTGACAGTTTTTTAACTAAGATCCATCCTTCCAATTGAGGTGAGCGGTAAGGAAAAGTCTGTCTGATACAATCTTTGGTCCTCTTTTTTCCATTAATTTTAAAAATAATATAACTTGGCATATTTTTACCAGCCATTTGCTGCTTGCCAAACTTTTCGAACCGCCTTGATTTGTTTTGGAAAAAATACTGTTGTATTCAATTCGGCCCGTAAATTCTCCCATATCATCAAATTCATTCTGGAAAAGGCAAATCTTGCAGTTTACGGCCTCACTGCCTCTCCAAGTAAGTTCAAATGAGCAAAGGCGAAAAAAGTTTTTTTGTGCTTCATCAGAGGTTTTCTCGTCGTAGCTTTTAATGATTTTTATTAGTTCTTCAATGGATTCTATTTTTAATATTTTAATTTTTAAATCTTGCTCCCTTATATCATTTCTATGTTTGGCCTTTTCCCACTCTTCCTTTTCATTTTACCTTTTATTGTATTCTAACACTTAGGCCTCATCTTTTGATAGACTGTTTTTTTTTAATTTTCCCGGGAAATACATACATTTTTATTACATCTTTAATACCTGTGCAAGTGCTTAAGAAATTTTGGAGTCTATAATATTATCAATATGATCAAATTATTCATCTTTTGATGTTGTTAAGGATTTTTCAACAATTAGTATCTAAAACAAGTGTGTTAAAGATTTATACATATTTTTTATAAATATGCATACGTTATTGACATCCATTTTAAAAATTGGGTCTCCAACATAACTTTGCATATCCTAAAACAATTGAAATAAATAATTATGTTCTAAATAAACTGTTAAAACTTATTACTTTACTTGTTTCAATGGAATCAGAACCAGATTCTGCATCCAGCTCCATTACAGTCTTTAGATTCAACAAATCTAGTACAGCATTTCTACTAGTGTCTAAAATAATACTGGTATATGGGCCACCACCAGTCCCTCCTTGATAGCATCTTAACTTTGCAACTTTCTGTCTTGCCTTGCTCTTTATGTTGTCAAACTCATCCAATGTACTGGCATGAAAATTTGTTGTCGGTAAAATCTGCCACAACTTTTTTTAAGCATTCTCCTGCAACTGTAATTTTTATTTCATATATAAACAAAAATATATATAATAAAAACTAACCTTTTCATTCCAATTTAGTTTGTTTGTTGTTTTACATTTTATAATTGATTTGTTTTTAAAGTCTTCCTCAATTGGTAAAAGTTGAATTGAAGTGAAATTCACAGAATGACTTCTTTTCGCTGCAGACATAATTAACAACTAACTAATATCCAATTTTAAAAATAATTAAGAACTAACTTTACAAACAATTAACACCTAACACAATTTAAGATAAAAAAGATTTTTTTGCATAGACTTTTAGTCATTCAACCAGACTCAACATGGTACAAATAGTTGTCTGAGTTTGTTGTATATTAATAAATATATAAATCAAAAAACAGTTAAACAGGGTCACTCTCTTCTCGCCTAGGGGCCCATCAAAGCATTTTTAAAAAAAGACATACAACACTAGGCCACGGTAAGAAAGGAATTTGACAATTGGGTTAGAAACAAAGGTTATGTTATTAACTAATGCATAATTATTTACATGGTTAGTTTACTATTCTTTACCATAACTAAGGAGTCATACACTGCTCTCGAGTCTAGTGATAATAAGTACTGAAGGTTCCAAGGGGCTAATATATTATGTTTATGTAAGTTATTTATTAATCTGGATGAAATTATAGTATTTCTGGGGCAACTGAAAAATATATGATCTAGGTTTCCTTCTTCTGTACAAAATTCACATCGATCATTATCTAAAACCTTGAGTTTAAATAAATGTTTGAAGAGAAGTGTATCTTTTTGGGCTAACAATGGAATATTCCTTTCATATATTATCCCACCTTTGGTATAATCCTAATTTTAAGGAAGCGATAAAAAAGATATAAAATAAGATTATTTAGACAAAACCCCAACAAAATTTTCACAAACACGATTATCAACCTACCAATTTAAACACTAAAGTTTACTTTTACTCATGAAAAGAGCTGTAGGTATTATGAAATCGGGTGTAACCCCAAAGTGCACTTTGGTGTAAAGTGAACATTAGTTAAAGTGTACTTTGGGTTGTCATTATGAAATTGGCCGTTACTGGAGATATATTGAAAAACAGAGTCATGTCTACATAAAAAGAAAAAGAAGAAAAATTTCCCTCTATTTTGAGGCGATTACGATTATAACTAAACTAAACTAAACTAGATTATTTTTATGATCATTTAAATATATGAGCAATAAAGGATTGTTTTATATTTATAAGAAATTATAATTTTGTTACATTTCGAACATACAATATAAAATATCTAGGCTTAAATGTTGATTTCAAAATTTTTAAATACTATTTTGTTTTCCCCGACATCTATTTACACTTATTGTGTAATTTCGTAGCCTTCGGCAAACCTTTCAGTGAGATGATTTCATAAATCCCGAATTGCCAACCATACAATCAATCATTACCGTACGCATTCAACAGTGTCTATTAGTACGCCTCTGCCGGGTATCACTATCGTCCTTCCCCTCTTTTTTTCCAAACTCTCTCGCCGCTTGACACCCCACGTTGTGCGCGTTGTCCGCTGCGAGTAGCCCACTACACATACCACCCCATACTATCTTTCTCTGTCTGTCCCATCTCTCTATCTCTGACACTGCTGATTATTCTTCAAAGATCTTTGCCGCCTCGACTTACCGCTCATGTTTGTTATGGTGATCAGTAGACACCGCTTCGGTTTGAGATAATACTTCCGGGTGAGAAGCGCCCGGAGGATTGCTTTAAGGACCTTCTGACATGTGAATATTGTTAACTTTATATTTTTTGAGTTTTTGCTAGAGTGTATGTTTACGGGTTGGAATGATACTTCGCGCGGTAAGGCTGCTGATTATTTAGAATTCGGTAAATAATGTAGCCGATGTGATTTTTGAATAATGACTGTTATTTGTTCTGTCGCAACAATATTTGCGTTATTTGTAATTATTTTTTCTTGGTAAGTGTGAAAATTTTCTATGTTATTTATTGTGATATTTATTCTATTTCTTTTTATTATATTTCAAATGATTAAAGCATTAGATTTATGCATTTACAATTTTATGCAATTTATGCACTTTTGTATAAACCGTTAAATTATGATTTACCCTATATATTTTTATTGATTTCTTATATTAATTGGATTACCAAATTGTCCTACAAAATATTTAATTGTACCTACTTTTTATTTTTTTCTTTTTTTATCAAATATTTTCCTTGTGTATTTGCCTTAATATTTATTTTTTGGTTATCGCAAATAAGTCCTTTACTACTAATATCATTCACGAATCTTTTTATGTTGTCTTTATGAACATAATTTTATGTTTATTCACAGTTCATCCATTTTTTTGCTTTCTTTTTTAGTTTCAATTTTTTCAAAACTTTTTTTAAGATCTTGGATTTGAGATGTTTGTATTTTAAAACGTTCTATAATCTTCTAGTAAGTTTGGAAATGTAAGTAAATAGAAAAAGATATTTAGTAAAATTATTTGCCTCTTTCAAAGTAATACTTATAGTTTCTATTTTATTATATTACCTAACTTGATTGTTGACTATAAATACCCAAAGTATTTATTATATGAAAAATATCTAATTGCTATTTTAAAACCTGTTATTTACTTTATTTATTTATTTTTTCATTTTTATTCTTTTGTCATAATTTAGCTTTTTATGGCATATTTTCCCGTATTTAACATTTATATAACATTTGTTTGTTGTTACCACTTTGCTATTTTTTTTACTTTTGGTTTAGAAAATTTATATAATATTTATAGATTGAAATTAAATATTTAAAAAACTGGGATGCCACAAAAAAAGATTTGATCTTCATTGACCATCACATCTTATTATCTCCTCTCGTTCTTTTCTATTGTTTTTTTTTTCTAATTTCTGATTCCGATTTCTTTGTATAACTGTTCCGTCTTAATAAATGACATCACTTATTTAAAAATCGATAAAAAGTTTTTCTTTTTTGCTGATGATACCAGTATCACCTAAAGAAACTATAATATTGCAACTATTCATGCAACTATAAGTTCTGATCTACTTATAAGAGCTCTTCAACCCTTCCTTCTGTAAGAAACTATCTTCTGCTTGTTATGCAATAAGATCTGTTTCGTATGAAATCAATTAAGCATATTCCAAAGGAATATATTTCTTGTTCGAGTCTCATCTACGATATTGTTTTTCTTTTTGGGGTTCTAGTACACCTATCCAATTTGACGTTATTTTGAAATTACAAAAAAGACCAATACGGTATCTGTTTGGTCTCAAAAGAACAACACATTGCAGAAGCTACTTTAAAAATCACTGAATTTGAATTCCCTCTTTATATATTTTAGAAAGTGTTTGCTTAATTTGTAAACACCTTCATGTGTTTCCAGCAGGACCTAATCATGACTACTCCACCAGAAATTTAACCTTTGATGTTTATTTATGGGTTCTATATTATGTTCGGCAAAAAAAACTATACAACCATCTCCCTTTACCACTTACTTGTATATCTGCAACATCTTTACCGAAGTTCTGTAAGATGACAAAAAGCTGTCTCTCTGAAAAACCATATTATTTAGTAAAAGAGTTTTTTAACGAATAACTAAGAAATTACAATACCTTTATGAGGTAGAAGTAAAAGCAGTAACTTCAACTTATTAGTTTGTAAGGTAATTCGGAATTAATTTAAATTTTGTAATGGATTGTTTATTTTATTATCTTTTATTTTGTTATATTGATGATTTGTGTAATTTCAGTAAATTTAAATTGTTATTCTTATATTCTAACTTTTTGTAAGCCTTGTCCATAAGTTTTCCACCTCGTCCTCGAACAGTCTTTTTTTTTGTTTTCCTCCTAAGGTGACAACTTTTCTTGGTAATTTTTCATTATTTACATTATTTGTATATGTAAATATAATTTACTATTTTTACTGGAAATAAGCCACAATTTACTAAAATAAATTTATTTTGACATTTCCATTTTAACTTCGAAATCATTCTCAAAATACAAATTAAACAAATTTTGTTTTTACAACTCGGTAATAAAATTCTGCAGTATTCATCGTCAATATGACTGACTTATTCTTATTGACAATTCCAACATATACAGGGTGTTTCAAAAAGGTATGTCATAAATTAAATCAAGCATTCCGAGGACAAAAATAAATTATCTGAATCTTGACATTTTGTAATAAAAATGGACACGTTACTTTCCTGTTCTGCAAGCGTTTTTAATAAAAAAGAAACAACAAAATCTAAGCGCACAAAAAAATTTTAAGGAGGGTGTACAGCCCTAAAACCCCCAAAATTCGGTATCGTTTTAATAAAGTAAACCAAATGCGTTGAAAAATCATATTTTTTGACGAAATTAATTTGCAGCTTCAATTATTCTAACCCTCAATTTTTGTTCGTTCTCTATTGTTACAGACTACACTTTCTCTTTCATAAACCCCCAAAAACAAAAGTCCATGGGGCTAAGACCTGGACTTCTGGGTGGCCAAGAAATAGGTGCGTCACAACTCCTTCCAATCCACCGACCAGGATACTACCTGCAAAGGTATTCCCGGACTTCATTACTGTAATGCGGTGGAGCGCCATCTTGTAGAAACCACATATTTTGCCTTATTGCAATATTCACTTCTTCCAAATACTCTTGTAAATGGTTTGCCAAGAACTGCAAATAATTATCACCATTTAAATTGTTGGGAACAAATACTGTGCCTATTAGATTTTTATCCACAATTCCTGCCAACATTAACTTTGAAATTCCTTTGGTGATGAGTCGTTTTGTTTGGCGTTAGTATTTTCGTCGGCCCAAATATGCTCGTTATGATGGTTTGTCATTCCATTTCTACTGAAGGTATTCTCGTCAGTAAACAAAATATTTCTAATAAAATTAATATTTCGACTATTTTCCATTAATAACCATTTTCCATTAATCGCAAAATCCAATTCCTATAGGATAATCTTGATCCGTTGTTAAATGATAGGGTTTAAGCAGCCGATCCTTCAGACGCCTTCAAACCCTTACGTGAGGAATATTTAGTTGAGCAGCTATTACCCTTGTAAGGGACCTATTCAATGATTTCTAAAATCATGAATGTGTTGCTTGTGTAAGTCCATTTCAAATAGTTAAGGAAATAATAAATAAGACTTACTTACAATCAATTTAATTTAACTATCCAGACGACCGGTTTCGC